ACCTTTTTCAATAAAAAACCACAGAGAAAATGGACGTGGGTCGCGCCCAATGGTTTAACAAAAAATGAGATTGATTACATCCTATCCAAAGAAAAGAGCATAGTACAAGACGTTAGGTCATAAACATGATTTCCGTAGGAAGTGATCACAGAATTGTTAGAGCCAAAATCAAAATTAACTCCACAACAGACAGACAAAAATTTAAACCATCTAAAAAAGAGATAGATACAGAACTTCTTAAAGAACGCAAAGAACAATACATAAACCAGCTAAAAAGAAGTGACATATCACAGCTAAAGGGTCTGCAACTAGACGAATTAAACGATAAAATAACAACAGAACTACTAGAAGCAGGCCTGAAGATTGCTAATAAACAAAAGCGAAAACAACAAAAAATTAGCGCTAAATCACAAGATATGCTAAAAAAACGACGACAACTACTGAACGATAACAAAAGAAATACAGTGGAGTATACCGAACTGAATAAAACCATAAGAAAACAGATAAAGGAAGATTTAAAGAAATACCAAGAAGATCGCATTAAGAAAATCATAGAGAAGAACAAAAGTTTAAAAACAATGAAGACAAATATAGGAAAAAGAAAACTAATCATGCTTAAAGCTGAGAACAATGAAGAAAGAGATCTAGGAGAAATAGTAAAAATCACAGAAAGATATTACACAGACCTATACAGTTCTAAAAATGACCCACCACTATCATCTAAACAGAATCTCACGAGGAAAATACAAAATGTTGGCTCAGAGGTATTACCAGAAATAACTGAAGATGAAATCGAAAAATCCATAAACGACATGAAAAGAAATAAAGCGGCCGGTGAGGACAAAATACTGGCGGAACTGCTAAAAGAAGGAGGAGACACGATAAAAAAAATGCTAAAAATACTGTTCAACAAATGTCTGTTTGAAGGTAAAATACCCAAACAATGGAGAAATGCCAACACAATCTTAATACATAAGAAAGGAGACCGAACAGACCTAAACAACTACCGTCCTATTTCCCTTTTGTCACAACTATATAAAACCTTCACAAGAATAATAAACAACCGACTAACCTATAAACTTGATAACTACCAACCAGTGGAACAGGCCGGATTCAGAAAAGGATACAGCACAATCGACCATCTACATACGCTTAAAATCTTAATTGAGAAAACCAATGAATACAACCTTCCGCTGTACTTAGCATTCGTAGATTATGAAAAGGCTTTCGACAGCATTGAACACTGGGCGGTTGAAGAAGCTCTGGTCAATAGTAGAATAGATTCAAGATACCGACAATTGATACATGATATTTACCAAAACGCAACCATGACCGTAATTCTGGACGACAAATTAATAACGGATAATATAAAAGTTAAACGAGGAGTCCGACAAGGCGATATAATTTCACCTAAACTGTTTACCTTGACCCTCGAAGACATAATAAAATCAACAGATTGGGAAAACAGAGGAATATGTATTAACGGAAAATACCTAAATCACCTTAGATATGCGGATGATATACTCCTGATCTCCTCGGAACGACAAGAACTGGAATTAATGCTGAATGAACTTCATGAAAAATCACTGCAAAAAGGCCTAAAAATTAACTTCAACAAAACAAAAGTAATGACAAACACGGAAGACCAAGAGGCAATAAAAATAAAAACAGAAAAAATAGAACAGGTAAATGAGTATATCTATCTAGGACAAGCAATCAGAGCTAATAGAGAAAATCAAACAGCCGAAATATCGAGACGAGTAAGAATGGGATGGGCAGCGTTCGGCAAACTTTCTTACGTTCTAAAAAATCAAACAATCCCTCTATACTTACGAAGCAAGGTATATAACTCCTGTATCATACCAGTGCTCACCTACGGAGCACAGACATGGACATTTACACAGGCCAATTTGGATAGGATAAGGAAGGCACAAAGAGCGATGGAGAGACAAATGTTGGGTATATCACTTAGAGATGGAAAACGTAACCAGTGGATCAGAACCAGAACAAAGACAGTAGACGCGATAGAACAAGCAGCAAAACTGAAATGGAAATGGGCTGGACACAATGAACGTCTCCAAGACGGATGATGGAACAATGCCATCGGAAAGTGGCGTCCATACAATGCAAAGAGATCAAGAGGCAGACCACAGATGAGATGGAAAGATGACATCAGGAAACAAGGAGGTCCCACATGGCAGAGAACAGCTCAAGATAGGGAAAGATGGAGAGAACTGGGGGAGACCTATATCCAACAATGGAAGGATAGAGAATAGGTTCAAAAAAAAAAAATATTTTGCTTTCATAACAATTTAAATTTTAATAATAAATATTGTTAATCTAAGGGCGTGGTCTTAGCTGTCATTTTATTTGTTCAGTTTTTAAAATTTAATGTGACAGCTAGTTTTATTATCTTTTTTGACATTAGTTGGTTTTGGATTTTTAAATAAGGTTAACCTCTATTATACATAGTTTTATTTTAAAAAAGATATCTTTTATTTTTAATAATTTATTTCTGCCACAGTTATAACTTAAGAAAAATTTAGAAAGTATTGTAGCAATTCCCAATTGTAAACTGATGTTATAGAACCAGATAGGTCATATGTAAGTTTTTTTTTCTTTCATTATTTTGGTATAAAACCTTGTAATTACTTTTGATTATCTATATGTGTAACTGTTTGTTTGAGACAAAAATAAATGTTTAATTTATTTCTCTGAACCATTTTGTCTTTTTATTTTAGAAAAGTCTCCTAACCCCTTTTTGTGTTTACTTTTTTAGGAAGGAAGAGCCTTTTTTCCTTCATCCAGCAAGATTAGGATCCTTCGAAGCGACATACTTATTTCAAATAGCTAGAAGTCTTTCTTGTTGTTTCTATTTGCCCAGTTGTCCAGGAGATTTATGTAAGTACCCCCTTTTGTTTCATTTTTGTAGTTGCCCCAATCCGACCCCTTGCGATTCACTTATCCACGACCCCAGCTCTCCAACTAAGCCCTGAATGCCGTCCGCATAAGTGTCGTTTTATTTTGCTTCAGTATCTCCACCCCCAGTAACTTCTGTCCCTAATTTTCAACCCCATAACCATACCATGGTAGGCAAAATATATTCGTTACAATCTAAACGTCAGATTACACATATAAAAATTAAAAAAAAAAACGTTTTTCGTTACATCTGCATTGAACAACGGCATGCCACTATACAGGGATGAGTGCCTTACCCGGCTTTTTAATGTAAGAGATAGAAAACACAGTTACCTTGTGAAATAAAAGAGATGAAACTCATGGAGGTGGGAAATAATCGATACAAACCTATAATTTACATTACATTACATTACCACCATCGATAATCTCACACCTTTAGACGTTAGCTTCGAGCTAAATTTCCTCGGTCATAATTAATATGTTTGACGTATGTGTGACGTATTTCCATTTTTTAATTTCGCATAAAGTAAAAACTGATTGACCACAAAAAAGCAAATTTGTGAATAAAATAATTTAATTAATAGTGATTATTTAATCTAAAGTTTTAAATTATTAACCAAGAATAATTTCTACTATGATTTAAGGAGTTTCATACGCTCTTGTCACGGAATAATTATCAATCATTCGTGGATTAGTGGTAAGAATTTGACACTACAATGCAGACAATTAGAGTTCAAAACCCACATGTTTGTTTTATTTATTTTTTTTATAATTTAAAATTATGCAGAGATTATTTTACTTCTGAACATTTATGTCAAACTTTCAAAAATAAAGTAAAAATTCTTCAAAATTAAAAGAACGTTTAAAGAATGTATAAATAAGTAAAAATTCCACAAAAATAAAAAAAATATTGTAAATAAACGTATTTACAATTGTCAATTGTTTTGAAAATCATTATCTGTACAGAGGAATTGATATTAACACTGAGAATTTAGTGATGGATTTGACATAAATAGTCTTCACCGGATTATTTTGCATTCACAACTGAAGACAGTAAAACTGGAATTGAATTTGAATTATTTTGTATTTCCGTTTTATAATATTGGAATAAAAATAAATTGTAAATAATGAGTTTTTCGAAAACTTGTTACCTAATATGTATCATATTTTATATTATTTTTTGATTGATAAAACAAAAATTTTATCCTTGGTGTGAATTGAACCCCAAACCTTCTTGTAAATAGACCACTTCTCTAACTAATACACCAATTCCACATACATTAATTGTTTTCGGACAGAACAGACCTACCTTTACTTTAGTCAAATATTTCAGTTGAGTTTTTTTTTGTGTGTTTTGGCTTGGACAATTGTCATTCAGCCAGTCTCAATCAAGATAAGTTTATTAATGTAGTGTGTGTGTATGTGTGTGTTTGTGTGTGTAAAGTAATTGTCTTGATACTTAGCAAAGTCGACGTCATTGTCTTTGCTAAGAGACGCTAATTGTATCCGAACGTCTGCGGTCCCTCCGGTGTGTACCGATCACACAAGGATTCAGTTGAGTTATTTTTAATAATAAATAACCTTAAAGATTTATAATTTAAAATTGCTACTAATTAATGCGTTTAATAATAATAATAATAATATATCTTAATTTATTCAATTATTTATTCTAACATCAGAAATTATTAAAATAAAATATTTTCGAGGTTATCAGTATAATTATGACTGAAGTCAAATAGCCACGTCTAACGTCTAAAGATGTGAGACTATCGATTGGATTAATGTAATATAAATTATAGGTTTCTATCGATTATTTCCCACCTCTACGAGTTTCATTCCTTTTTATTTCACAAGGTAACTGTGTTTTCTATCTCTTACGTTAAAAAGTCGGATGGTAAGACACTCATCACTGTATATGTACATTGATCTTCGTATATTTAGGCCCAGGTATATTTCAATATTGTGCAGACATGGATAATGTAATCATCGAACTCAATGAATAATCAGACTGTGTTGAAATTACAGTCAAATAAAATAATATTATCATGGCATAATAATATAAAAATAAAAAAACTCCATATTTTCTTTTATTAATTATCACTATTTTATTATTACCTATTTACAAATTTACATTTATATTTAAGCAAGTTCAGCAAAGCCAATACGATTTTGACCAAAATCGAATTCAGTGTAAACGGTCTTCAGGAATGAATCTCCTACGAGCCAATCGAAACCACTGAGGAAGAACTCCTGGGGCAAGAAACTTGATACACAAATACCTGAATCCTACAACATAAAACAGCACATCAATATATTATATAAATCAGCATTTTGAACTTGTAATGACAAAAACGAATAGTCGGTTCTAAAAAGATCAACAGAACAAGATCACATTATGGTAAATATTATTAAATAACATTTTCACATTGAATTATGGTCAAAATTTAAAAGTAAAATATAATATCGACAATTTTATCGCATATTCACAGAAAAGAACTTAAATATTATCAATACTTTATACTTTGAAATTATAATACTTAATGAATTCAAGTTTTCCATTTTCTCTGTGAAGTGATCTCTATAAAAATTATTGTGCTCAGAGGAATGTTATGTTTGGTATTAGATACAGTTCACGCCATTCAAATAATAACTCCATATTTAAATTCTTCAAACACTTAAAATTGTTCAAGAATTCCTTGCTTTTACAACTGCTAATACAATACTTGAAATGTCTACCAATTATTAATCATGATTTTCTTTTGTAAACTAAGCATAACGATGAAACTTCTTAACCGTACCTATTTTGTTAAATAGTTTATAAAAATTGTATTGAATTTCGCTGTCAACTACAGTCTTTAACAGAAATTTGCATAATTACCTTATTTGTAATAATAACCTTATTTGCAATAAGGCTCCAGGAGGCGATGAAATTCTAATTGAAATTTAAAAAAAAAAAGAGGGAAAGAAAAGATAAAAGACTACCTAAAGATACTTTTCAATAAATGTTTGTTTGAAGGACAAATATCGCAAGAGTGGAACAAGGTAAATTCAATTCTGATATATAAGAAAGGAAATAGATCAAAATTAGCTAACTATAGACCAATATCTCTCTTGTCACAAATCTATAAAACTTTCACTAAGGTGATCACAACTAGACTAAACAACAAATTTGATGCATACCAACCAGTTGAGCAGGCAGGATTTAGAAAGGGGTACAGCACAACCGACCACCATCACACTCAAAATATTGATAGAAAAGACCAACGAATACAATCTTCCAATATACCTAGCGTTTGTTGACTATGAAAAAGCGTTTGACAGCATAGAACTATGGGCAGTGGAAGAAGCGCTAATTAGTTGCCGAATAGATTCACGGTACAGAATTTTAATCCACAATATATATCAAAACGCCACTTTGAGAATTCAGCTAGACAGAGATTTGCAAACTCCAATAATTAGAGAATTTGTAGAGGTGTCAGACATGGGGATACAATCTCCCCAAACTATTTACTCTGGCCTTGGAAGACATTTTTAAATCTATAGACTGGGACAATAAAGGGATTTATATAAACGGGAAATATTTAAATCATCTAAGATTCGCCGATGATGTACTCCTGATAGCAACAACTATGGAACAACTACGAATAATGATTTCAGACGTAGAAAAAATATCTCTTGAGAAAGGACTAAAAATGAATCTAAAGAAAACTAAAATAATGACTAATACAGAAGACAGATCAGTAATTACCATAGGTGGAACAAACATGGAACACGTCCAAGAATATATTTACTTAGGACAAGCTATCAGAACAGACGGAAGTAACCAGACTAAAGAAATAACCAGAATAATAAGAATGGGGTGGGCTGCATTCGGAAAACTTTCATATACTATCAAAAACTAAAAAATACCTTTAAAATTAAGAACGAAGGTATTTAATGCATGCGTCCTACCTGTTCTGACATATGGTGTCCAGACGTGGACGTGTACCAAGAGCAACTTAGATAGAATAAAGAAAACTCAAAGAGCTATGGAAAAGACAAATGTTGGAAATATCGTTGAGAGATAAAAAGAGGAACGAGTGGATAAGATGCAAAACCGAAACAACAGACGCTGTCGAACATGCATTGAAATTAAAATGGAAATGGGCTGGGCATAACGAAAGATATCAGGATGGAAGATGGAATAAAGTAATTGGCCGCTGGAGACCATATACTGCAAAAAGGTCAAGAGGTCGACGCAAATGAGAATGGGTCCAATGTGGAAAAGACAAACAGAAGACAGGGACAAATGGAGACAAATGGAAGAGGCCTATATTCAACACATGAATAGATTTTGGGCTATAGATAGATAGATAGATAGAAGTAACGGGTCCCCTTCAATATAATTGTTTATGTGTTATGAGAATATATGTTCCTTAAAATCTTAATAATTTTGTTCAACCAATATTTTCTTTTTGTGAGTTTTATTTGCTAGAAAGAGATGACGGAAACATGGAGTCTGGTTTATAATAAATGTCTGCAAATTTTTGAGAATATCGGCTTGTAGAACTTTTAGTTTTGACAAACCTAACCTCAAAGTGTATAACATTCGTAGACACAAATTACAAGTTTATATACAGATTTTCACTTATTACTTAGGTACTTATAATGTTGATATCTTAAAAAATATGCGACATTCCTCAATGTCTGTGGCTATAGTACGTATAAAACTTACTTTGACGATGTAGGCTTCGGCAGGAATGGCAAATTTCTTGCCTCCAAAAGCAAATACAACATCAGGGAGATTACTCAAATCGGTGTTGCAATTAATGGTGTAAACACCTTCAGAATAGTCAAATTGTGCACCAATTGCCTAAAAATAATAATATAGTAATAAATAAAATAATACAACATCTTCTTATAAATTTGCAGTTAAAATGCCAACCAAAATTGTATTTGACAATTTGGTAAAACATTTTCAGCATTCTACATTTTGTCATTTTTATAAAGAGTATATATTTGTAAACATATATTACTAAATGATTATTCTACCTTGTTGATAACTTCAACGTCTTCGGTTGGTCCATAGATCAAAGAAGTACCAGTATCTATTACAGCTTCACATCCATTTTGACATAAGTTATGGTTGTCAACAGAAATACCTTGTGCAGTAACTTGCCAATAGAGTTTTCGTGATACTGGTGAATAGGCGAAGTCTCCTTTATAGTACTTTGAATCTGATCCACCAAGCAACAGTTCTCCTTTATCGTTATTTGCAGATCTAAAATATAAAAAAATCATGATAAATGTCTTCTATCTCCGATCTATATAAAACAATCATGATAAAAGGTTGAATCTGAAAAATATACCTTTATACTGACAATAATGAACTATATAACTGCTTAAATGATGCATTTTCATTTAAGGCCAGAAAAGGCATATTTCCCGAATCTATAAATGAATTTTTCGATACTAGTTTTCGTAAAATTTTAGTAAATTAATTATATACAAGCTGTTGTAAACTTACAGGCTCAGGTAAAAGGAAAATACTGGTTTGTCAACGACACCTTGGCTAATCAAGTTTTGAAAAACTGGAGGATTCTTTTCTTTTGACAGCTGTGGGTAAGCTAATCCTAAAATACCATCGAATGTACTAGTAACGAAAGACTGAGAGGTTTCGTCAGTTGCTTCAGCAAATATTTGATTTTTTATAGCAAGACCGGCAATCTAAAACAACATTTTATATAAATTAACCAAATTTATGCTAAATCTCATACAATGGATTAAAATCGAAAGTACGGAAAAACTAAATGCATTCGTCCCTGAAATAAAAGTAAAAGAATAAATAATAAAATGGTTAGGACACTTGCAACTCCTGATAAGAATATTCTATTAAACTAACTATCAAGGTCCTGCAAAAATAATAGAGAAGGGCTAAATATTTATTGTTTTATTGAATCTAAAAAGTTTTTTGCTTACCTCTACACTGTCTTCAGATAGAAAACCGCTTAACTCTCCAGATCCGTATTGGATGTAGAAGGATTTGCCGTTGGCTTCGTAGGTTGAAGATTTACTAGAATCGTACTGTTTGTGGTTTTCTAAAATATAACTTTTATTTAATTGTCTAAAATTAGACAATTGTTTTCTTAAAGAATTTAGACTTTATTATACTATTATACACAATTGCCTTATTTTGCAATAAACAAAGCTTGTAAGGTATTTATTTATTCTAAGCAAAACGTTAGTGTTCTTCTATTTTAGGTACAATTTCAGACAGAATAGCAAAATAATTTTTAAACAAATTATTGTAAATTTTTACAAACTAATTTAGTTAATAAATATATTAAACAACTGTGTACTTACGGCAACCGTTTTGTTGACCCGAATAGATTGTACACTTGGCCGAAGGAACCCAAAGATCAGTAGAACCCGTGTCAAAAATTACGTTAAACTTTTGTGGGGGAGTTCCAACACCGATTTCTCCATAATAATCAAGCTAGATAAAAAATATTTTTGTTTATTAATATAGCAAAACTAAAACTATTATTCTTATTATACAAAATCTATTATAAAGATAAAAACAGCTGCAGATTCAACCCGAAAAATGATAAGGTAATATTCTACAATAACTCACATCATATTCATTGACTAAAGGTACTACTCCTTGGCCCCCAAATCTACTGCGTAGTCCATTTCTGGCGATATTACGTAATCTTCTTTGCCCATGATTAGTCTGTTTCTTCAGTGGAATTCTAAAAAAGTAACGTTGTGTTAAACATCTAATCTAATACAATTTTTTTAGTTATTTATGTATGATAACTTCTTCTTAATAATTGAAGAAATAAAGCAACGATACAGAAAATGACGGACTACAAACAACTATCAAGTTTATAAAGAATATAGAAAAAAAGATAGAGAAATAAAAACAAATAACACAACAAAAGAATGAAGAATGAGAAAGAACCTGTTTTAATATTGAAGCATACATACGAGGTACAAGAACTTCGGAGTCATGGAAAGTACTGAGAGGATTGAAAAAAAACTCAAAAGAAAAAATTAAATTGGGAAATATACAGGACAAATAATGAAAGGACTATTACAAGGAACTGTTAACAGAACAAAGACCACAATTTATTGGAAAAGAAAACGGGCGAAGACGAAGCAGATCCCCACAACAAGAAATAGAAATAACAGATAGATAAATGAGAATGGCCATAAAAGCAATCAAAAATAAGAAAGCACCAGGACATGGAGGCATCTTACCTAAGCTTATAAAATACTGATCAAAAAAATTACACCGGATGATACAATGGATATTTCAGAAAGCCATAAATGGAGAACAGCTCCCAAAGGCATGGACGGAGACAAATATGGCATGTATATTTAAGAAAGGAGATAGAAAATATGCTAAAACTACAGAGCAATAAGCGTAATATCATCAATAGGAAGATTATATGGGAAGATACTGCGAGAAAAGATAGAGCAAGCGATAAAAGGCAAAATCGCAGAGGAACAGGCAGGTTCACGGCAGGAAGATCATGCATAGATCACATATACACACTGGAACAACTGTTGGAAAAGAAAAAAGCAAAAAATAGAGATATACATTTGGCATTTGTGGACCTGAGAATGGCGTATGACTCTGTACCAAGGTCAGAACTATGGGAGGCAATGTACAAATTAGAAATACAGACGGAACTCATAGAAGCTACAAAAGCTCTGTATAAAGAAAATAAAGTGTCTATTAAAGTGGGAACAAGAATCATAGGAGACTTCATCACAACAAAAGGCTCCTGCAGGGTTGTTGAACATCAACCCCATTTAAAATATACTTAGAGAAAACCTTACTACATGGAAAAAAAAATGCGAAGGCATGGGAGTACCGGTACGGAACGAATACTTATATACGTTAAGCTTTGCAGACGATCAAGTAGTGATTGCAGAAGACCAAGACGACCTCAGCTACATGATGAAGAAACTACAAGAAGAATATACCAACACTGGCCTAGATGTTAACCTCGCGAAAACAGAGTACCTATCTACAAGTGAAGAAGACATAGAAGATCTACAGATTGATGACAACGTAACAATCAAAGGAAAGGATGAATCCAAATACCTACTTGGGTTTATAATCACGAAAAAGACAACAACAGAGGAAGAAATTACACAAATATTAGGACAAACAAGAACAGCAATTCGACAACTTAACAGTATGGTGGGATAGACACCTAAAAATGAAGACAAAAACACAGATTTATAAAACATTAGTGCGAAGTATTATGATATATGGGGCTGAAAATTGGATTATAAATAAGAAAAACAGCAGTTAGATAGTAGCAACAGAGATGCAATGCCTGCGAAGATGCTACAGAGTAACGAGAATGGATAGGAGAAGCAATGATGAAATAAAGCAAAGAACATCAATAGAAACAGACATACTAACATATATCGAAGATGTCTAAGACATATATAGAAGAACTAGCGGATAATCAAGTTAAGAGAAGAAAAAGAACTTTTTCTTTTTCTTCTCTTAACTTGTTTATCCGCTGTAGTGTGCGATTTTCTAGTTGTTTTGATTTCCTGCTATTCCTTTTTTCCCTTCTTTTTTATTTCTTGATATATTTTTTCTCTCTGGCTTTATATGTTTTTACAATTTATTTTATCCAACTTTTTCTTGGTTGTTCTATCTTGAATGTCTTTCTTCAGCAATAAAATTCGTCTAAGATACAATTATCTGAACTTAAATATTTTAAAGTTGTTAGTGCATTATTGTTTTTTTTTTTTTGTAATACCCAGCTTTCACTTGTCTGCGTCACTATCGATATATTAAACATAATATATACTAGTGGCTTAGTTGTTATTGTTGTTTATTTAATTGTTATATATTATTTTATTTAAAATATAATAGATTTTGTTGGTTTTCTTCTGTTTATCATATATCTCCAAATTGAATTTTCCACGATTTAAAAATATTCTTCCTAAGTATTCAAATATTGAGATCTCTAGATTTTGTCGTTTGTATATCATTGTTTTTCATTTGTACGGTAAAACTTATTTCATTGCTTTTCTTGATACATATTTACTATCATTTTTAACTTCTATCTCTTCTATCCATATGTTTTCTAATTTTTGCAACCTGATGTGATTGTCAGCTATTGTTTGAAGGCTATGAAGTTTGCGTAATATAGTATTTCAATCTGTGTGGGGCAAGTCGATTGTAGTCAACTGCTATTTAGAGGGTGTTCCTATATCTCGAATTTTTTATAAACCGAGATCTAGAACAAGGATCCTCTAAACAACATAATTCCCTATATTATACTGTTTTAAAACCAATTCCCACCAATACTGAACATCAGTATTGGTGGGAAAGAAATAGAACTCGTAGATAGGTATAAATACCTGGGACATGAAATTATGATTGGCAGGGATAACCAGACTCATGAACTGTAGAGAAGAATCGGCCTTGGGTTGGCAGCATTTAGAAAACTGAAAGAATACTGAGAGGTATTTGATCAGTGCGTCCTTCCAGTCTTGACGTACGGAGCAGAAACACTTACCTTAACAAAAACAGCAGCGTCCAAACTGGGAGTCACGCAGAGAAAAATGGAGCGGTCCATGTTAGGAATAACTCTGCAAGACAGAATAACCAACGAAGACATCAGGACAAGAACCGGAGTTACTGACATCATCGAGAAGATAGCCAGACTAAAATGGAGATGGGCAGGACACATAGTCAGAAAGACAGATGGGCGATGGACAAAGAGGTTATTGGAATGGAGGCCAAGGAAAGACAAGAGAAGCGTCGGTCGACCACCTACAACATGGACTGACGATTTAATGAGACTCAATAAAAACTGGATAAAAGCAGCGCAAGACAGACGGGGTTGGAAACATGAGGAAGAGGCCTATGTTTAGCAGTGGACTCTTGAGGTTGGATGATGATGATGATACTGTTTAAAACCAAAAGCATAAATATACAAGGCCACACCTTTAAAATACTTATTTCCAATAAAGTCTATACCTATAAATAAGGCCATACATTTATAGCCAACCGTAATAAAAAAGGAAGTACTTAAAACTCGATTAGTAAGAAACTGGTTCCGCCTTCTATAAGCCAACTAATTAAAATATTAATGTAGAAGGGATGACACGTTTAGTTTCGTCCCTCTAATCGATTTGTTTTGTTAGATACTATTACATATTTGGAATGTAAAATAAATTGTAAAATAGTATTAAATTTTTTATTTTATTTTGATAAACATATAAACCATATTTAAAATGTTTATTAATGTGTAACCTAAAATGTTGTAAACCCCATGCTTTTAGAACTACATACCGAATCTTCTAAAATAGGACTGAAAATGAATTTAAACAAAACAAAAGTCATGCACTCCGAAGACACCGTGACAATAATAAACGATAAAGTTATAGAAAAAGTTGAAGAATATATATACTTAGGACAAAAAATAATCCTAAATAGGGTAATTCAAACTGAAGAAATAAAAAGAAGAAGAAAGTTGGCTTGGGCAGCATTCGGTAAACTGAACTATAACTATACTCAGAAATCAACAAATTCAATTACATCTTAGATCTAAAGTTTTTGATGCATGCATTATTCCGATATTAACTTATGCGGCACACACATGGACAATCACAAAAAAGAATAGAATATACTTAGAGTCACTCAACACGCGATGGAAAGAGCAATGCTAGGTATATCACTTAAGGACAAGAAAACAAACACATGGAGAAGACGGAAAACCAAAGTCACCGATGTGGTGCAAAAATCATTAAAGTTGAAATGGGAATACGCTGGACATGTAGCTAGGAGCGATCTAAACAAATGACACAGATCAATTTTAACCTGGAGACCATACCAACACAAAAGACCCAGAGGCAGACCTCCTATGAGATGGACAGATGATCTGAAAAGAACTGCCGGGAAAAACTGGCTACAAGTAGCGTACAATAAAAAATAATGGAAAGGAAGACTTGAAGAGGCTTATGTTCAGATGTGGACGTGAATGGCTAGACGAAGAAGAAGAAGAACCTAAAATGTAAAGTAAATATACATAATGTGTTAAATAACAAAATTTTTATGTTTTAGGAAAGCATAGTGTAGTATATTTTTGCCGTAACACAAATGTGTGTAAGTAACTCTTTTGCACAAGTTAGAATAGGGGGGAAAATATCAAATGCTGTCTGCGTAAATTGTTGTTTAACGTGGCCTTAGAATATGTCATGCGAAAAATATATCCAAAAATCAAACCAGACATAACTGCTCGGGGAGCAAAAATCATACTCGCCTTTGCCGATGACGTAGACGCAGTAGCACAATCAACATTAGAAATTAAGGATATTTTCTCGAGCTTTGAAGAAGCGGCATTAAACATCGATCTAAAAATAAATTAAGACTAAACAAAATACATGGTCGTCTCAGAACAAGAACGACGGCGAATAAGGCAAAACATTACTATAAATGATCACAACTTCGAAGTGGTTAAAGAATTTAAATATCTAGGAGCAACAATCACAAATAACAACAAATTAGAGCGAGAAGTTGAAACGAGAATAATGGCAGGAAATAGATCTTTCTTTGCAATGCAACATCTGATGAAGTCGAAACTTCTTTCACGAGGTGCAAAGATCCGGATAAGACCATAATACGACCAGCAGTCGCGTATGGAAGCGAAACATGGACGATAACAAAAGGAGAAGTAAATAAATTGCTGGTGTGGGAATGTAAAATTCTTCGATTGATATATGGTCTTTGCGGAGACAGCCGGAAAAACGAATGGAGGGGCACAATAACGAGCTAGAGTATTTATTCGGAAAAGAAAATCTAGTCAGATATATAAAGGCCAATAGATGGGCAGGACATGTGATATGCAGTAACGACAATCGCCTTATAAACAATGTGTTTGAGAAAGGCCAGATGGAAGAAGGTCTTTAGGGCGGCCTAGAAAAAGGTGGAAAGATGCAGTCAGAGAAGATCTAGAGAAGATGGGAGTGCGACAATGGGAATGACTGGCACAGGACCGACAAACATGGAAGGCAATAGTAATTGACTCACGAAGAGTTGTGGCGCCATTGGTGATGAATATAGTGTAGTATTTAACTTTTATTTTAAAACTCAAATTTAGAACACTCATGATTTAAGTCTTAGAAGCAAATACGCCTAATAAAGTGTCAAGTTTTGATATAATTTTGGAGACACCAAAAAGATTAATAAAACTATTAAATGTGACATTTCACTAAAGGGATAATTAACTCATAAGGAATTAGTAGACAGTAACAAGATTGAAAGTAGCCAAAAAACAAAAAACAAAAATTAGAATTTTAACAAAAGAAAAGTTAGTATGAGAATATCTTAGATAACTTGGGAAAAATAAGAACTATTCCATATATATTATGGAATAAAAATTTAAATGCTTTGTTATTAGGTATTGTTTAATTATTAAATAATAGCCGTATACTTAATTTCATCAATAAAATTCTATTATTCTAAAATAAACATAGGAAAACTTTATTTTGTAGGTTTAAGTTGTTATTTTTTTGTTTCACGATCTACTCCAGAAGCTTACGATCCGTTGGGATATGTAGATAAACTGATCATCTTAATTTTATAAGAAGCTAAGCTACTAGAATATACAAACTTATGGACGTATAAGTTATATCAGGGCTTCCCAAACTTATTCGTACTGTGACGCCCTTGGGACATTGCTATTTTTTGCGACGCCCCCTCACTCAACCCAACCTCCAATAATACTTACCAATTTTAGTACTAGCCTAGTAACAGGTGATTCTTCTTCTTAGAGTGCCATAATCCCTACGTCGGCGACTACCATGCTTATAATATTGTTATACTGATCTCGGTCTTGCGCTACGTGTAGCAATTGGTCCTCTGTCAAACCTGTCCACTGCCACAAATTCCTCAACCAAAAGAGTTTCTTCCGTCCTATCCATTTCTTTCCATCGATTTTACCGTTGAGAATTAGCCGAAGGAACTCATATCTTGGTCCTCTGATTATATGTCCAAGATATTCTAGTTTACGCCTCTTAATAATATTTAATATAGTTCGTTGATGTCCCATTCTTCGAAGAACTTTTTCGTTTCTGGTTCTACTAGTCCATGGAATTTTAAGTATCCTTCAATACAACCACATCTCAAACGCCTCGATTTTATTCATGATATCGGCTTTTAAAGTCCAAGTTTCACATCCATACAAAAGTACAGACCACACGTAACATCTTGTAAACTTTTCACGGATTTCCAAATTTAATGAAGTATTGGATAATAGAGGCTTGAATTTTTGAAATGAGTTTCTTGCCTGTTTAATTCTACATCGAATTTCAAACAGGTGATAGTTATAACAAAAACACTATTTGAACATTTATATTTTTTATTAAAAATTAAGAACGAAATAAAAACATAGGAACAAAATGAAAAGGGATATTTGTTTATGTAACTGGCTGGTAAATGTAAGGTATATTCTTGCTTTTTTGAGCACAGCCTATGAAACCGGGGCTAAAGTTTGGAAATTGCCACTCTCATTTCTTTTTTTGTTTGACCTTTACTGTATTACTACAACTGTAGAAAAGCCCGTTTCGCACAAGTCCGAAGTCGCAAATGGTAATAAATGGTAATAAAACCTTTAATGCAGCAGTGCTGATGGCATGATATTCATGAGAAACTGAGCTCCAAAATTCAAACAGTTTGTCCTTGTCGTATGGCCTTAAAGCTTTAGGCTAAAATCACAAGACAATTCTGTCAGTTGTTCTCCTTTTTCTGTTGAAATTGTCGATGGCGTGCGTGTATGACAGGAAAGGGTTTCTGACCCAGTTATATGCACATATTGCTCCATATCTTCGGAAAATATTTCTCAAAGTTTTCTCTTAATGATAGCATGTATGCAAACATATTTTTTAAAGAGGTATCAAGGGTTTTTATCGATTTTTTTGTAGAATACCTTGTAAAGCAGGGAAACCCTGGCCAAAATGGCAAATAAACCTGAAAGTTTCCCTACAATTTGCTCATTAATATCTTTTCCCAAGTCGTGAATACGGTGACTAACCGTATTGTTTGAAAGAGGTACATTTTTATTTCTCTAGCTGCCGATTCTCCAACCATTATTGTTACCATATCAATCGCTGCAGGTAAGATCAGTTGCTTATCGATCGTATGTGGTTTTTTTACATTTGGAAACACTGTAAGCTACTATGTAAGAGGCGAACAATGTTTTGGTAGAGCTCTTAAAACCAAAGCTGTGGTCTAATGTTTTAACTCTCGCAATTTTCTTACAAAAAAGTCTATAGGTTTACCTTGTAAATGACTGTGAGTTAATTTTAAATGCCGTTTTAGTTTATTAGAAGCATATTTCCAGCCGCCAACACTTTTTGACAAACAACACATTGTGGAAGTTCTACATTCCCTTTAATAACGCAGGTAAGTCCAAAATCCAAATATTGGTTGTCATATTTCCTATATTTCTTCTTTGTGCTTAAATTAACATTGCTGCTCTTGCCTGATTCTTCACTTCGTTTTCTATTATTTTGAATATAAGTATATATTGTTGATAGCAAAAAACTTCGCGTGCGTAAAAAACAGTAGGGAACACGGGGAGGGAAGCCGACCGGCGAAACAGAATGCGCACTAGATTCCAGTGTTGCCATTGTCCGGATAATTATGTGGACTAACAATTTTTTGAATAATTTCGGATAATTCAAGGCTCTATCGACTTGATGTTATATTTTTTATTTAATTTATTTGTTAATACATATATTTTATACTCATTTAAAATCAAATAAATATATTAACTGTTTTAAAAGTCGGCGCTGATACGCGACGCCCCTAGGACTATGCAGTGACGCCCCAAGGCGTCGCGACGCACAGTTTGGGAAGCCCTGAGTTATATAAAAATGATTTATAACAGAGAACAATGCGTCAACACTATAGCCAAACATTCCTTAATAGGAAAGGCATCAAAACAAGGATGAAATGGGAAGATTATGCAAAAAATAGCTAATAACAAAGTCAAATAGCGATAATACTACTAACTTACCTGATAATTTCACTGCTCGCAAGAGCAGCTATCACCAATACAACCAAAAGCTTAGCGTACATCTTAATTTGTTTTAGTTTCATTCATTAGTTTTTGTTGTTTATATACAGTTTGAGATTTCTTGATTATTATCAAAATATCCCCGATATACAACAAGTTATATCAAGTATCAAGTACTTAAAAACGTGATTACACTAAGTACTTTTTTATTATTATTTTGCACTATTTTTTTCTAAACTAAAAATACCCGTACCTTACGTCAGGATACTTGAATGAATCTTTTGTAATTTGTCAATAAAATTACTATTTAATACTTATCAATACAAATTTAAATAAATGATGTAAAAATTTTTTTAATATTGAAATTACGATTCAACCAATTCTGTCTAATTATGGCAAAAGTTTTATAGAAAATACAAAAATATTTTATATAAAGGGCTAACTTTAAAGAACATATTATCTAATGAAATTACAAATACCAGTCACCCACTGTAATCCGACAGTCATGTTTAAATTAACTCGAGACTTACGGGAAAAGCTTTTGCATTTATACAGATGCCTCCAAATCTGCAAATGACGTAGGAGCAGCATTTGTCACTCCATATTCCTCTTCCCAATTTAAATTAATGCCAGCCACTTCTATATACACAGCAGAATTATATGTAATATTACAAGCCCTCATTCATATCAAAAGTACAAACCATTCTTCTTCCGTCATTATCACAAATTCTCTAAACTCCTTAACAACAATCGGTCAACTATATACTAAGAACCCTATAGCCTTACTTGTCGAGAAAAAACTTGCTGCCTTACAAGAATCTGGTTCAGAAGTCAAATTTATGTGGGTTCCATCTCACACGGGAATACAAGGTAATGAAAACGCAGACCTCCAAGCAAGAGAAGCTACCAAAAATGATCAAGCCATAATAGTGTCAAAGACTATCTGCAGTGATATAAAACAGTTCGTTAAAGAAAAAGTGATTAGTGCGTGGCAAAATAAGTGGAACTTATCGGAATCTAAATTAAAAGAAATTAAATCGACAGTGAAACCGTGGCGCCTAGTAAACTTAAAAAGAGCTGACCAAGTCAAAATTTCTCGACTTCGATTAGGTCATACCAATATTACTCATAAGCACCTAATAAGTAAAGAAGACATTCCAGTGTGTGATTACTGTCAAGTCAATATTACTGTTAAACATCTCCTAACAGAATGTGGAAAATATATGTACAGTTAACAGACAAAATAACAATATTTCCAGTAACTTAAAAACAGTATTAGGTGAACATTTAAATACTAAAAACTTAATTAAATTTCTAAAAGAAACATCTTTATATAATTTAATATAATGTAGTAACTAATGTAAACTAATGTCGCTAATGACCCAGGTGGTTGAAGCGACTATTATTAGTAAATAAAAAAAAACAAATACCAGTAATGTTCAAGAAAGTTCTAATACTAGGATAAACAATAATATTGAAAGAAATCTGGTGAACACAACCAGTGATAATGAAGTTACCATGAAGAAAAAAAACAAAACTTGGTCAGAATAAAAATTAATGGAGAAGATACAGAAACAAAAAACTTCGAATGGAAGGTAAAGTATACATGGGGTTTAGTAAAAAATCCGGGAAGATTAAGCAAGATATACCAGGAAAAGCAAAATCTTTAAAAGAGGCGTGTACGTCAGTAAAATGTCGAAATTCCAAATTAAGATATTGCAGGCAATTTACAGAACAGTGCAAAAGTCATATATTTAAGAACTTTTTGAGTATAACTTGGGATCAACGTAAGGTCTGTGTAGCATCTCATGTATTTAAAACTCCAACATTTAAATCAAACAAGAAAAATTCAAGAAGATAAGGTACGTACACTTACTACTTACATGAGGGGAATGAAAACTTACAAGTATGTCTTAGCATGTTCACAAATACATTAGATATATGTTATAAAACCATTCGTTATTGGGTGGATAATAGTCCTTGCGGTATGACTGACAAAGCATTACGTGTTTCTACCAAGAAAATGATAAAGACTAGGTATACAGAAAGGCATAAATACTTGGAACAATTTCTTGAGAGTTTACCTAAACTTCCTTCACATTATTGTAGTCGCAAAACACAAAAATTTATTTAAAATATTCTTTTAACATTATGTCAAATTTGTATGGTGTTTATGTAAACAGTTTTTGTCAAGAACAGAATATAACTCCTTTAGGTCGCAACGTATTCTCAAAACGATTTAAGGAGAATAATTTCGCTTTATATACATCGAAAAAAGACCAATGCAATATTTGTTTTGCATTTAAATATAAGAATACGACAGAAGAAGAATATAGAGCTCATATAAAGAGAAAGGAAGACGCCAGAGAAGCTAAAACTTTGGATAAAGGCATAAGTGAAAAAGATGAAATAATAGCACTAACAATGGAACTATAAACCGTAAAACTGTGCTCATATGTACCAGCGAACAAAATGTACTTTTAAACCAAATTGTCCTGCCATAACTTCACAGTTTGCAACCTAAAAAACTCGCGATGTTATGTGTTATTGGTTTTCAGAAAACGAAAATAACCAGCTCAAAGCATTTACATTTGTTTCCTATATCATACATTATTTAGGGGAGAATTGTGTTCAAAAACGCTAGTAGTTATTTATTCTGATGGATGCGGTTATCAAAATCCTAATAATATCCTGGCCAATGCTTTACTAAACTTAGCTATCAAACATAATGTGTTAGTGTTTCAAAAATATCTTGAACCGGGTCACTCTCAAATGGAATGTAACTCGGTACATAGTATGATAGAAAAGAGTATTAAAAATAAGGAAATCTATTTACCCAGTGACTATGCTTCCATTACAGCTTAAGCAAGGAAGGGAACTAAGACATATAGAGTCAAAATATTAGACCATACGTTTTTTAAAGACTATTTATCCTCCAACCACATGCGATATTCCTCAATCCGATCAGGAAGAGAAGCGTATGACCCAACCATTACTGATATAAAATGTATCAAATACGATCCAGTTGGGACCATAGAGATAAAAACTGATCATAAAGGAGAATATTTAGTATTCCCACAAGTCCCTATCAAACCAAAGACTATGCCAACAATGCTGGACTATCCACCTTTATTTCTATCGCCTCCTAAAATAAAAACGGAGAAATGGCAACATTTACAAGATCTTAAATCGACCCTACCAAAAGATTCGCATTTATTTATGATGGCCTTTTACATGGGTAGATCTTTTTATTTTGTTCATTTATACACATGTACATACTTATGAAATAATTTTTGTTCGTTGCTTTTGAAGGTTTAATATTGTGTTTTATTGTATTGTATTAAGTAAAAATGTAAAGAAATATTTAATTTTATTTGGATAAAAGGGTATTTATGCTTCTTTGTCTTAAGGTGCCTTCTCCATCACTAAAGGTTAGCTATAACTACAGCAAATTGTTCTCTATCTTGAGCTGTTCTTAGTATCGGATGTGTGTCCATACCTGTCCAATCTTTTACATTCTTCAACCAGGACAATTTTCTACTTCCTGGACCTCTTCTTCCTTCCACTTTCCCTTCCATTATAAGTCGTAGGAAGTTGTATTTTTCTCCTCTGTAAATATGCCCTAGATAACTCGTTTTTCTATTTTTTACAATATTTAGGAGATCTCTCTCAGTACCCATTTTTCTTAGCACCTCGCTGTAGGTCACGTGCTCTGTCTAAGAGATCTTCAGCATCCTTCGAAAAACCACATCTCAAAGGCTTCTATACGCCTCATACTTGTAATTCCGAGAGTCCACGTTACCACACCGTATAGAAATATGGAATAAATAAACGTTTTTACAAATTGGTATCGGATATCCAACGATAACGTAGAGTTTATTAGGAATTCTTTCATTCGTTGAAATGCGGACCTAGCATATTCTGTACGAGCACGTATTTCGACCTCGTGGTCAAGATCATTTGTTATCCAGCAACCAAGATACTGGAATCTTTGTACTGGTTCTACATGTTTGTTATAGATACGAATATTAATGTAGACATTTGGTGCACGTGTACCAGCCATTACTTTTGTTTTATTATACTTATATTTATGTTTAATTTTAATAAACAAAAACTCCTAAGTTCACATTAAATAAAAATTAGTATCTCCTATGAGTAACAGTACTTAAAGCAATACCTCCTTCTAGCTTAACAAAACTAAATTCAATTAAGTATTAACTTTTTTCATAAGAAGTAAAAATGTTGCTTTTACACAGATCATAAAACACAAACATTTGAAATATGTTAAAATTTTAAAAATTATAAAGTTTTTTGTCTCTCCTGAAAAGTTTAGGTAAAGTCACATAGGAGATACTGCCAGGTCACCGACGATATAGACTAGAATAGAAAATTACTAAAATTATATAAATCGTCAATATCACAAAATTAACATATAGATTTCTTTACTAACTCAATGGACGGGATCGGTAAATACAGATCAAATGTGTACTAGAACTCCAAAAAGAAAGACTATCTAAGATGAAACTAGAGAAAAAAAAAATATTATTTTGGAAGATGCTAAATTCATTTCCTTCGAAACAGATATTATTGCATAGCAGGCTAGTTTATTACTTAACTTATCGATATGATTCATCGATACTGATTTGGCTGTTATTAGGAAGCAAGGGTGTTGAAGAGCTCCTTTATAGGGTAATGCTATTGTCTTTTCCACGTTAAAAGAGAGTAAATCAGAGTCACATCAGGTTTTTATTTTAAGTCGATCCGAAGTTATAATTGCCAGAAGAGTTGCAATAGTAGAGTTCCTCCAGATGATACTGGTATCATCAGCTAGAAGACAAATTTTTCTATCGATTTTTGATGTGACTTGAGTGATGTCATTTATAAAGATAAGGAAAAGTAGAGAACTCAATACTAAACCTTATGGTACTCCACATGCAATGTTTTTGTGACTAGAGTCAGTACCATTATTTGCTCTAAATAGTTGATTCCGATTTCTCACGTAAAAATGAAACCAATTTAAAGAAAGACCTCAAATTAAAATGTAGTTGTTTTTTATAAAATTATCGTAATTTACACAAGCAAAAGCTTTGGCATACTCACAAAAAAACAGT